GGAACAGTAGACCACGATGTCTGGATTCAGTGCAGTAGGGTTCCGAGTTACTTACAAAATGGATTAGAGGCATAGGGCACGCTAATTCGACAATCGGTCTAAAATAATAGCAGGTGTGGTATGTAGCGGAAAATGGCGAAAAACGTGGTAAAACGGTCAAAAATCTGCGAAGAAAAGCCTTCATTCTTAACGACTCAAAAAGCAATTTCGGACGAGTTCCCCTTTGTGCCAATAACCGCTACGGTAGATACGGCTGCATGTATGTACTCATATATCCATGCAGCACCGCAGCCGCTTCATATCAATCCCTTCCGCGTCATATTGTAAGTACAAATGAAACGAATTAAGTATCACTATCGGAAGGATATTTGCGGATGGGCAGGCGCGGTGGGCGTTCGGGTCGGTATGTTGGAGCTTGTCAGGGCGCTATAAGGGTGCATTACTTGGGAGAAGCGCAGGCGTCTGCTCAGGGGCGCTGGATTCTGTCCTGCTAGGCGGACTAATCCTACACATTTATCGCGCCACTTGCCTCTAACAAAGCAGGATTCAAACTCACAAACGGTGTTAACTAGGGGAAAGTTTGGTTGGTGGGAGTTGTTTGCCTCAGGGGAAAGTTGCCTCCAAGAACGCGAAACAAACTTTGCCTGGTTTTTCGTTGCGAGTGACAGCAAGACCTCAGCATGCCATCATACTCGGAACTGCCGATCCGCATAATTTTTCGTAAGTGGGCAGGGCCTGCACAAAATGGGCGGAGCTCCCCGTGGCAGTCCAAAAATGTGAAAAATTGTGAAGAGAGATGTCCAAGTTGGCGAGGACTCCCCGTGGCGAGGCCGAAAATGTGAAAATTCGAAGAGAGATCAAAATTCCGCAAGAGAGTTGCAAAGTGAGGCGTAGCCAAGAGAGAGGTGGGGGGGGAGGTCGAGGTTATTGTGTCGGTGCATAAATGAGCGTCTATAAGTACCTCCGTTCTGTGGAGAGTGGATGTGAAATCGACTAACCTGAGAAAAGTTATGAAAATTCGAAGTTCGCAGCAACTCTTTGAAGAACGGTCAGGGTCGGCTATGTGTCGATGTCCAGTCGTTTTTAGTCAAAGTGTATGTGCGAGACAGCAAAAGACAAAAAAGTCGCAGGACGCAGAAGTTATGGAACAAAATTTGAAAGTCTACAGTCCTCATCATTGCGGACCGGTGGGGCGTGTCAGCCAGAAGGAGTGCGCACACTGTTGAAGCCGTTCTCAGCCTTTTTTGTTGCAACGCGTATGCGACAAAAAGTGGTAGAAAACGAGTAATACGAAGGATATAACAGTAATGCACTTGCCCGCTTCAAAAACTGGTGCAGAACGACTTTGCCAAACCGCACCAAACGCAGCCGCACTGCCACGCCCCACCGGTCCGCAATGATGAGGACTGTATGTCGCGCTGACAGGTAGGCGTGGCCGTCGGAACGGTGTTCGCAGTGGTATCCCGCGTGATCTGGTTGATGAATTCCCGGTTCAGAACGTGTAGTGAATTTGGTTTGAATAGTGGTGAATTTCGGTTTGAAAAGTGTTGAATTCAAAGCGAAAATGGTATATATCGAGAAATGAGAAATACTTCGAAGAATAGAAATCATGCACGCCCGTAAATGACCACCATGTCGACGTGATTGATCGAGGGTAAGTGACTTTACTAACTCGTACACTGAAGAATAGCGTAGTGCGGTGTGTAAAGGGATAAAGTCACTCAATCGCAGTGGTTATCATGAGACGGACGAGATTTTATTGGAGGGGAAAACGCTGCGAACTAAACGTGGTCACATCATTATCTCACTTCTCGACGCGAATCGATGCGGATGATGGAGACGTAAAAAGCATATTACACTGGGAACCTACGGTTTCGTGTTTTGCGCGAATTCCGCATCAACGGCGGTGGCGACAGACGTCGTTGATGGGCCTTGTTCGAGTGCCGGCAAATTCCGTCGTCGCTTCTTTCGACGACTAATCCGTGACAATCCTCGACTGAAGACGTTACCGCTACTCATAATCTGAAAGACTGCGGTTGTCGGTGTGAAGAAAGACGGATGGCGAATAAAACAATAATGATATGATCGATAACGACGATAGGTAACGAGACAAAGCAAAGTCAACAATTCGAGTGATAAGAAACAGCACTTTCGTGCTTTTCATAGCCGCACTGTACCGCCGATCGTCTGAACGCGCTAGCGCTGTACTATTTCTGTTTTCAAAACAAAAAGACCATTCGGACGATGACGCCTGAGCAAAGGCTGTTTCGCTGGTTAGCAGGTCAATTGCTGTACTTTCAAAAGTAAACTCTCCACTCAAGTAAGGAACATTCATACAATGAATTATTACAATTCTTGAGGCGATTCGCGAAGTTTCTAGAGGAATTCGGCCTCTTCACTTCAGTTCTAGAGCAATTTCTTGGGCAGTTCGGTTTAGTGGGGGCACCATGTGGTATTAACGGAAACTGGGCAGCCAATTTTCTGGTGAGTTAAAGGTTCTTGTGATCAAAGCGATCACTTGTAGCATTTCACAACGGAACACGAGTTCACAGGTCTTACTGGAATGAAACGTGTTAAGAACTGAGAAAACGAACTAGCAGAAGATTGAATTGCACGGCCCCAAGCCGGAACGAACGGCGCAGTTCTACATAAGAAAGATAGAACAAAGGTGCTCTGGAAAGGCCATTTGGCTCCCTAGCGAATCCTTTGTTACTAATGTAAGTGTTCATAAAGCCTTGGACTCAATTGGACAATTGCAAATGATGGAGATGTGGAGAGTTTATCCTCCAGTGTATTCACCTCACCTCTCATGCTGCCGTAATGCAACTCCAGATTCTCCCTCAACACTGAACTGACCTCGCCTGAAAACACTACTTGGCTCACTGTGGACTGTGATTTCCCAGAAAAGTCGTCGATTGGATGCACGGTTCCCCAAAGGCAATGAATATACAGTCGTTTTCGGTTTAGACGCTAGCGCGTGGCTGGGTTGGCGCAGCGCAGGCACGTTCTCCACCAATTGTAGAAGCGGATAAGCAACAGCCATCAGTGCAGAAATCAGCTCTTCTTACCCACCCCAACGTCTGCAGCGAAAACGACTTTACGCAATTTTTTCACAGGTTCTGGACGCCGCGCTGCAAAAACAAGCACGATAAGCAATTTGAAGGCGACTACATTCGTTGAAGACTCGTCAGCGGAAAGGCGCAGTACCATGGACTGCTCGGGGAGGAGGGGGGGACTAACGAGCCCAAAAACCCTATCACTGGAATTTATACAATCCAGTTCACCCTAATAGGAGCTAATCATAATCAGTTAAAAGAGTCATGGCTGACTTGCTTGTCATTTATAAATTTCATCAAAATACGCTACCCGTATGACTACTGTTCAAAATAGAGGATGGTACAGTAGCTCCCGGATACCCGCTTGACCACTCTAGGGTAAACCGTTGTACAAGAAAGTGCTCCAGTCTCTCACACTTGAAGAC